ACTTTCTAAATGTTCATAATAGTTCATATATTTTACTTTTAAATAGATTCTAATAAAGCTGGTTAATCTTTAATGTCTTAAACTGTAGTAATATTTAGGTTGAAGCAGTAGAAAAATCATTATGAATTACAATATGAAGGGTTTTGTTCCATTTCTTTTTTTGCTGTATGAAGGAAAATTGTTCTGTCTACCGTACTTTTTGGAGTAATAACAGCTTTTTTGCACTATGTAAATACTAGTGGGGATTCTTCCGTAACTAATAAAAATGATTGTAGAAATTTATGACTTCCACACAGTGGTGTGTTTGTTCAGCGGCTACTTTCTCCAGAGTTCATGTCCTCAAGGGCTGCCCTGGCACCTCTGATAACTGCTAAAAGGTGGAGGACTCTTTGCCTGGCTCTGCCCTCTGTTCTTGGTCCCAGGGTGGAGGGGCCTGAGAGCCCCCTGCTCCCCTTGCGATGGAGAAGCACGGGCTGGAACAGGGCTTCCCGCGTCAGGGGTTCACAGGCACTGTGCTGTAGCGTGACCTGAAAAATGTTACGTGATACGGAGAAGTCTACTGTTCCTCAGTGGTCCTGGTAACAAAATAGGTCAAAAGGGCTCTCTTGAAAATAACATTTCGCTCTAGGAGAGCAAGAGTAAGAACAACTGCTTCCTCAGCATAGGCACCTCTGAAAAACAGGGTTTCTTCTGTGCTGCCACAGTAAGGGAGCACAGGTTGACATCCCTTCGCTGCTGCACGTTTTGAAATAACGTGAAGTTCTCCGTATGTCATTGCTGTGCTCTCCAGTGACTCACGGAGCTGCTCACTCTTCCGCATCTCTAGTAACAGTGTCATTAACTTGTTTTGCAACTCCTACGTGCAGGAGTATTTGCAGCAATTCACAAAGGATACAGCCTCATCCTGTAATTCTGAGTTTTCTATTTATGTGCCTTAACTTCATGTTTCAATTCTGCTGTTGCAGTTGTCTTCTGTTGAAAGTATTTCTGTTATAAACCCTACTTTGCAAGTGCTATCACTTTCTGTCAAAATGATTCTTCATATGTGGGCTTCATATGCATCTTCTTGACCTGAAATGAATTTTGGAAAGTACAAAAAAGTAGGTGGCATCTTGTGACTGCAGCAGGGTAGTAACAAGGAAATTAATTACCCTAACACCTTGCAACCAGACTTCTCTTCCTTCCCTTTCTTTGTTAAACCACAGTAAAATAAGTGGCTTTTAGTTCCAAAGTACTTTCTCCCCTGAGAAATTCCCCTGCCTTTATCGAGAATTTTGCAGGTGACATTATAGGCCTGAATGTTTCACATTGCCGTGTCCCAAACAGGAACAACTCCATGAGCAAAACCTCAGTTCTCAGAGCCCACAGCGTTGTCCTGACCACAGGAGCCAGGCGAGCTCTTGGGTACGGGTTGGTACTGGCCAAGCAGGGAGTTTGCAGAGGACTGGGGCATCTGCACAGCAGAACTGCTTGGAAAGGCCCCTGCCACGCGCCTGTGCTGGGTGTGCAGCAATGTTGCTTTCAGACTTGGCTTTCAGATTTTTAGTATCCTGCTGTATGAAAGTCAGGAGTCTTTGTTCATATTTATTATTTTTACAGCATTGGACAAAAGATAATGAAACAGAAGACTAGTTATGTGTGTGTTATTTTGTGAGTTAACCCTCTTGTATTTACAAGTTAGCAAACGCTACGAAATGCTGGAAAGCGAGGTCAGAACATGCATTTTGGCAACAGCGGCCGAGCCCTGGCCTCCTCCTAACTGTTACATTACGGTTTTCCTTTGACGCTTGGTGATTTTCCCTTTTGAGAGGCGGATATGTGTGGGTGTCCATCTGGACACTATCTAAAATGCTCAGCTCTATCATAGTGTTATTTTCCAAGGATAGTACTTTAATGAGTAAAGAGGAATTTAGTAATCATGTAACACTGATAGCAGACTTTCTCTTACAGAAAAACACATGGGCACAGGCTAACCCGCATTTCCTATCGTATCATATCGAGCTCTGTTTGTGCATGAGTTTCCTTGGTGGACAGGGGGAGGCTGTGGCCATCCTAAGTATGTGGGCAGCTTTTCTATTTGTATTTACAGCAATAGTTAATGTGTTTTTGCAAGGCTTCCTTCCTATACACTAGGCTGCCTAGTATAGCCTATTGCAGGGCGATAGAGCAACGCTTAGTTATCATTTGAAATGTGAGGAGGTAGACGCCTATATCCCTCTTCCACCTCCAAAAAATACGCAAGGGTCTTAGGATGGGGTAGCCTCTGCCTGAACAGACAGCAGCAGAGGTGGCTCTGGCTGCGGTTCGAGGGCAGCGCGTGGGGACGGGGCTGCCC